AGGTTAGCAAGTTCACTAAAGGCCTTGAGGAAGTTGGTTCACATACAAACATGGGCACTTCTCCTCAATGTATTTTATAATCATAGGTCTTTAGGTAAAATATTTGTAGCACCAAATACAGCATTTTTTTTAATGTGGCTCATGCTAATACAAGTCTATAGGATGTGATTCCCCAACTTTTGAAACAAACTCATTCCTATGAAGCCGATGCCAATGCCTAGCAACCATATAGAGAAAGGTTAATATTCCTTCCTATGTTAGCAACGTAATTGTTTGCCTTGCTGTAATTAAAAAGTTAGTCTTGATTAAAAGCTGACAATAAGAACACTAAGCTATTTCATAGTGAAAGGGGATGAAACTGATCATTACATGTTTGCAATTTGCATAAATGGAGACTGGAGCTTACAAGGAAATTTAAGAACAAGAAAGGAAATCCACTTCCTCCTTACTTGAAGCTTAGTGCCCTCACTTGAGGTTTAAAGTTCTAAGACACTGGAACAGTGATTACATATGATTGTGAACCAGTCAGGGGTCTCCAGAGAAACAAGGTCACTAGGAGACATTTTTTCTTAAAGAGGTCAAGCCACTGAATATGCTAAAAAACCATGGCACTAGGGTGTTCTCTCCTAGTGCTTTTGCCTGTAAGGAGAGTACAAGACAGATATAATTACCCAGACTGAATGTACTGGAAAAGAAAATGTTCAATAGTCTTCTTCTGGGTAACAAGAAAGGATTCTTAGAAATCACAAGCCAGGCCATAGCTATTACTTAAAAAAAAAAACCTAACTGACTGTAATTTTGACACCTTTTAGAATGGTAGTGTAGCATCATGCTCAAGAACAAGGAGGCTGATCATGTTGAAGTTACCTTTCTGAATTGGATTCTGAACTTTTCTGCCAATGTGCCTTGGGAAAATGATGTGACTGAAATGTCTTCATTTTAGATATTGCAAAATGGACACTAATATCTACCTTACCTTTTTCACATCTCAAAGAGATTTCAAAACTAGAAATCAAACTTGTAAAACTGTCTTGTCAGCAATAGAACAATAACCTGTGTTTTGCTTTATGACACTGTCACCTATCAGAAATTATCCAAGAGGTTTTTTAGCTTGCTTAAAGCTCATTAAAAAAACAACAAAACCCCGACTTGAGCACTTGAAGGAATGTGCACTTAACCCAAATGTTCCCTTCAAATAATTTTCAGAAAATGAGCGCATCCCTCAAAAATCCTTTCATGGTCACTGACATCACTGAAGTAAAGGATCCAGGGCCGCACCCTGGGAGTTCTGAGTAAAGTAGGCTCGAACCTGGG